CTTTTTTTTTTTTTTTTTTTTTTTTTTTAAGGCCAAAAACCGAGAGCTCCTGAAGCAGGCAGCTGCCTTGTCCAAGAGCAAGAAGTCAGAGAAGTCAGGAGCTATAACCTCTCCATGAGAGACCCACAAGGACGCTCCTGGCAATAGCAATGGATTCCTGGGTTAGGGTGGCAACTTAGCTGTTCTCTGGGAATTGCAAGCTTTCTTAAGAAATCTCTATTTTACTATAGTTATCCTTCTTTGTGCGATTGCAGTGGGGCTGAGTGGAAACACCTGGTTTGTGCTATATTATGACTGCATGCTTGAATGTTTGGGGTTTCAGGCTCGCTCTCTCTCTCTCTCTCTCTCCCACTCCCACTCTCCCTCACTCCCCTTTCTACCCCCAACCCTCCTCTCAGTACTACTGTCTCTCTGTCTGTCTCTCTTTTGTTACTTTTTTATGTGTGTGTGGTGGTCACTGCTCAGTGTTATGTGCAGAATGGTTTGGTTGTTTTTTTTTTTGGTCCATCATTGCATCCTCCCATACCCATGAGCAAATAGTTGGCATTAATTACATATCACTGCCACCCTCTGAACTTTGAAAACTGCCACCTTAAGACTTGGTACAGTGGAAGAGAATTTTTCTCTCCAGTAAACCTTTTGCTTCAGGGTATACTCTTGGGTTTTTTTCCAGGTGTATTATGTACTTTGTACTATGTATAGCCAGAGTTTTATTTATTTTTTAAAAAAAGAAACTTTTTCTTGATAAAAGAGTAATGGTAGCCTAGCTTGTTCTTGTAAAAGTGATGCCTCTTACAAAAAAGTCCTACTCTCTAGCGTTTAGTAAAAGAATCAGATCTTTTCTTTCTTGTTACCTTGGAGTCTTAAAAACTGATTGCTAAGGTGAAACAATTCAATATATAAGTATGGAGTTAAGTGCCTTTTGGAGGATTTCTTGGAAGACCATGTAAGAAGATACTTAAGGAAGGTAGCAAAGATTTGGACAGTCTGTCTTTCTAAGTAAAGGCAGAAAGAAGGGTTGTCCAGGTTGTACTGGACACTTCTCTCCCCCACCCCTTTCTTGATTGTTTTATGTGACTGATTTTAAATTCTCACACTGCCACCTCTTTTTAAAAAAATGCCCTTTACTTATATCAGTTGTCATACTGGGCCATTTTCAGGTAACTTTTTTTTTACATGATTCAAAATGGGATAATATTCAGACTACAGAGCATTTTGGAGGTTCGTATGAGCTGCTCAAGTATGGACTGTAAGTCCTGGGAGAATGATATCACTGTACCTTTTCCCCACTCCTCCTCACCCACCCCAGCCTGTACACTCCCTGCCTTTAATGGAAATGTGTTGAAAACAGGTGCTTCTCAAAAGCAGCTTGGCCGCAGCCTGAACTGTGTCCTGTTTTCCCTTCTTGACCCAATAGGCATATGGATTCTCTTTTCCAGGTGAGAGGATAGATTTGCATTTCTAGCCGTACTCTCAGGTCCTCTAGATGATGTTAGTGCAAGGAACTAGAGATGTGTAGTGTGCCATGAAACAGTAAAACCAGCTACCTTGGAATCATGAATGCAGGGGGTGGTACTAGAGTTAGAGGTAATCATAAGGGCAGATGACATTTGTACCTCAGTCTACCAAAAGTGTAGCAGTAAGTTTAACTTGCTAGGCATTTCCTAGGAGCAAATGCTTCTAATTTGTGAGCATTCTCACAAGTGGAGCCATGCACATAATTGGACAGAGATGTGGAAATGAGTGGCTTCCTTCTGGTAAGAGGAACAATGGACCATGTTACTTATCTATCACTCTAGTAGAGGATGTAATTTTCCCTTCTAAGCAAGGGAAATGGCAGTGCTAAACAGTTTTGTAACTTTTTGAATGAGAAACTTTTAGGTAAAGATAAACTGTCAGATAATATTTTCAGATGCATTTACATTGACTATGGGGAAAAGATTGTGAAAAAAGTTAGTCATTTTTTTTTTAATTTTAAAGACTTGAGAAATTCTGTTACATGAAGTGACAATGTAAAAACACATTTAGTTTTATACTAAATCTTTTTTTAAGGTCTTGGCATTTAATATAAAGCAAATCCACACATTTTCTAACTTTCCACAAGTTCCAAAAAGGGAAGGAAGAAACCTCAGTCTTGAAATTTTGGTTTTTAAAAATCATGACACTGTTTTACCGTGAAATTGAGTAGCTAACTTTTGGTAACACCTTTTGTTTATTTGTATGTTTGTAATAATGGACCTTTTAAAACACAGGAATGTTTTGGTTTGTACAGACTTTGAAAAATGTGTGTTAATAAAAATTCATATTGACTTAAGTATAATTGTTTTTTTTTTTCATTTCTTGCTGGTTCACCAATAGACATATCCCATAATCCCCTTCAACCTAGAAAAGAGTCAGTTTGTCTTGCTTGTAGAATTTAAACAATTAAAAACTTAGCTTTTGCACAGCAAAGGAAACCATAAACAAGACCAAAAGACAACCCTCAGAATGGGAGAAAATATTTGCAAATGAAGCAACTGACAAAGGATTAATCTCCAAAATTTATAAGCAGCTCATGCAGCTTAATAACAAAAAAACAAACAACCCAATCCAAAACTGGGCAGAAGACCTAAATAGACATTTCTCCAAAGAAGATATACAGACTGCCAACAAACACATGAAAGAATGCTCAACATCATTAATCATTAGAGAAATGCAAATCAAAACTACAATGAGATATCATCTCACACCAGTCAGAATGGCCATCATCAAAAAATCTAGAAACAGTAAATGCTGGAGAGGGTGTGGAGAAAAGGGAACCCTCTTGCACTGCTGGTGGGAATGTGAATTGGTTCAGCCACTATGGAGAACAGTATGGAGGTTCCTTAAAAAACTACAAATAGAACTACCATATGACCCAGCAATCCCACTACTAGGTATATACCCTGAGAAAACCATAATTCAAAAAGAGTCATGTACCAAAATGTTCATTGCAGCTCTATTTACAATAGCCCGGAGATGGAAACAACCTAAGTGCCCATCATCGGATGAATGGATAAAGAAGATGTGGCACATATATACAATGGAATATTACTCAGCCATAAAAAGAAACGAAATTGAACTATTTGTAATGAGGTGGATAGACCTAGAGTCTGTCATACAGAGTGAAGTAAGTCAGAAAGAGAGAGACAAATACCGTATGCTAACACATATATATGGAATTTAAGGAAAAAAATGTCATGAAGAACCTAGGGGTGAAACAGGAATAAAGACACAGACTTACTAGAGAATGGACTTGAGGATATGGGGAGGGCGAAGGGTAAACTGTGACAAAGCGAGAGAGAGGCATGGACATATATACATTACCAAACGTAAGGTAGATAGTTAGTGGGAAGCAGCCACATAGCACAGGGAGATCAGCTCCGTGCTTTGTGACCGCCTGGAGGGGTGGGATAGGGAGGGTGGGAGGGAGGGAGACGCAAGCGGGAAGAGATATGGGAACATATGTATATATATAACTGATTCATTATGTTGTGAAGCTGAAACTAACATACCATTGTAAAGCAATTATACTCCAATAAAGATGTTAAAACAAAACAAAACAAAACCTAACAGTGCTAATAGGGAGTTTTATGTCAGTCAGAGAATAAAATCATTCTTTGAGTTTATTTATTCAGTTTAAGTGCTTGCTTTGTTATAAGCACTGGTAGGCAATGAGGATACAGCAGTGAAGACAATTGGCAAAGTTACTCTCCTCATGAGGCTCCCATTTAATGGAATATTGGACAACACCATTGTTCCTTGATTTTATATTTACCATTATTACTCAAAATTAATATGGAAAGAATCTTTATAAGGTATGAGTGAAAGGTTTTTGAGATGTCTTCTCAAGGAGAGGAATGTGTTGGTTTGAAACATTGGTGCTAGTAGGTTTCTAAATAACAGGTGCCTTTCAGACGTTATCACTGTCACATCCTGGTCATTCTGTTCTATAGGTGCAATGACAACTTATTTTCTCTAAATAAAGATAGTTTTATAGGTGCTATGGTCTGCATGTTTATTGCCCCTCTCCTCTCCGCCAGATTCATATGTTGAGATCCTAATGCCTAGAGATGGTAGTATTAGGAGGTGAGGACTTTAGGAGGAGCTTAGGTTCTGCCCTCATGAATGGGATTAGTGCCCTCATAAAGGATGCTCCAGATAAATCCCTTGCCCCTTCTACCATATGAGGACAGAGCCAGAAGGTGCCAGCTATGAATCTGGAAGAGGGCCCTCACTAGAATGCTGACCCCTTGATCTTGAACCTCCCAGCTGCCAGAAATGTGAAAAATAAATTTCTGTTGTTTATAAGCTACCCGGTCTGTGATATGTTGTTATAGCAGCCCAAACAGACTACAACAGTAGGTTATGTTTATGACCACATTTATTGTGTGAATTACCTTAATTTACCCATTTACGTATAAACGGCTGTAGGGGAAGAATAGAGTATAAACAGAGAAAGATATCATCTAGGTCTTCAGGAAGTTCTTCAACCACTCTAACTAACCTTAAAAGCAACTTAGCAGGATTTTGGTTGCATCCTTTTCAGTTTAAGACCATATGTTACCTGCAGTATAGCTATCTTCAGCTAATGGTCAGTTCGAGGATTTGGGGGGAGGGGCCGTTTTTGGGAAGGTCCAAACTGTCAGGACCTACAGAGTGTTATTCCTGCATAACAAATTACCCCCAAATTTAGGTGTTTTGTTTTTGTTTTGTTTTTTGGCTGTGCCGGGGGCTTGCGGGATCTTAGCTCCTTGACCAAGGCAGTGAAAGCACTGAGTCCTAACCGCTGGACCGCCAGGGAACTCCCCAAAATTGAGTGTTTGAAAACAACCATTTTAATATGCCCACAAACTCTGTTGATCAAGAATTTGGACAGGGCACTGTGGGGACGACTGGTCTTTGTTCTTTAATGTCTGGGTCTTCAGCTGGGAAGATTCAAAACCTGAAGGAAACTTATTGGAACTGAAATCATATCTCTGAAGGCTCTGCTGACTTGTGTATCTAGTGCCTGGACTGAGAAGACAAAGTCTAGTAATGCTGACTGAAGCACCTATGTAGGGTCCCTCCATATATACCCACCTTGCCTTCTCCAGCATGGTGGCCTCAAGGTAATCAGACTTCTACCATATGGTGGATCAAGACTCCAAGCACAAGTGAACAAATCTGAAGCTGTGTATCATCATCTGACCTGTCCTCAGAGGTCATATTACCTCGCTTCTGCAGCATTTTATTGGTCAAAGCAGTCAGGAGTCCATCCAGACTCAAGGGGCGGGGACATAGATCCCTTCTCTTGATGAGAAGGTGACAAAGTAGAAGAGCGTGTGGGATGGAAGCTACTGTGAAGGCTATTTTAAAAAATCTAATCTGCCGGACTTCCCTGGTGGCGCAGTGGTTAAGAATCCGCCTGCCAATGCAGGGGACACGGGTTCGAGCCCTGGTCCGGGAAGATCCCACATGCCGCAGAGCAACTAAGCCCGTGTGCCACAACTACTGAGCCCATGTTCCACAACTACTGAAGCCCGTGCACCTAGAGCCTGAGCTCCGGAACAAGAGAAGCCACCAAAATGAGAAGGCCACGCACCACAGCAAAGAGAAGCCCCTGCTCGCCGCAACTAGAGAAAGCCTGCACGCAGCAACAAAGACCCAACAACAAAGACCCAACGCAGCCAAAAATAAACAAATTTATTAAAAAAAAATATATATATATATATAAAATATGCCACATAGAGAATGGATTTTGGAACCAAACCAAATTTAAGAGAACAAGGCACAAGGCAGAAGTTGCAATGACTTTCATGGCCTATCTTTGGATGTCACACTGCATCATTTCTGCAATACCCTATTGGTTACAGAGGACAAATTACTGACACTGGACTTCCCTGGTGGCACGGTGGTTAAGAATCCGCCTGCCAATGAAGGGCACACGGGTTCGAGTCCTGGTCCGGGAAGATCCCACAAGCCATGGAGCAACTAAGCCCATGCGCCACAACTACTGAGCCTACATGCCACAACTACTGAAGCCCGTGCGCCTAGAGCCTGTGCTCTGCAGCAAGAGAAGCCACCACAATGAGAAGCCCGCGCACTGCAACAAAGAGTAACACCTGCTCGC